CATCCTGGTGCTGGCCAACGAGTTCATGATGGAGGACCTCGTGGCCCAGTGCGAGAACAAGCTGATCGACATCATGGACTGCAACAACGTCGTGCCGCTGCTCGAGCTGGCCTCGTTCTACTTCGCGTCGACCCTGCGCTCGGCCTGCGTCAACTTCATCTCCAACAACTACGATATCGTGTCCAAGACGATGGAGTTCGACGACCTCCCCTCCGAGACCAAGGACGAGGTCAAGAGACTCAAGGCCCTCTAAGCGACCTTCCTCTACCCTGTATATACCTCCGACCACCTCCTCGCTATCCACCACATCACCATCATCTTCTTCTTCATCGTCTTCGACTTCTCTACAATGACCGATGTCTCCCCGAACAGCGCTGCGGCCCTGCAATCGATCATTGTTCGATCTCTCCTCTCACACTCCCCGCACTCCTGTGCTGTACATACCCCACACAACTTCACCACAACGCATATATATGCCCTGTCTATACTCACACGCACATGGACGACAACTTATAAATATATTATATAGATATATATATATATCAGTCTAGCTGTGTCTGCTCTCGCTTTGTCTCTCAGGCGTGCACGTTTTGGTTTGTGCTTTGAAGGAGGATTCATTCAAATCTTTTTGGGTTTTCACAAGAAATCGAAGTCATACAGTCCTTCGAGGGCATTGTCCTCATATGCATCCATCTGCATCCCTACATCTGACGGAACAGAGGAGGAAGAGACGGACAACATCACATCATCAGCATCTGCTCGTGCAACAACAAAAAACGAGTGCCTGAACCGACGGAGGAGTTGTGGTCGGGGTCTTACCAAGCCTCACCCCTCAGCCCACACGCTTCACTCACCACCACCAACAGTCACAACATGTCAAACTTGAAACCAGTGCATGAGGTATGCATCTGCCTGGTGGGCAAGACTGGTGTGGGCAAGCCCATGCTGGGCAACTTCCTGTGTCCAGGCGCCAACTTCAGGACTTCAGGGGGTGCGGCCAGCATCACCTTTACCGCGCAGCAGGCCCGGGCCGCATACCCGGACCGCGGACTGGCGCTGGTCATGCTTGACACCATGGGCCTGGGCGACACAGTGCATGGGCTGGAGGTGGTACGGCAGAAGATCACTGAGGGCGTCAAGTCGCTGGCTGGCGGCGTTGACTTCGTCTTCCTCTGCATCAAGAAGGAGCGCTTCACCGACGAGAACCACCTCGCCGTCATGTACGTACTACCACTCTTTCTTTGGACCAGTATGTATGTTTGTTAACTTATTAAGCAATTCGTTACACCAGGCACCTGTTCCAAGTCATCCTGGGCAATCAAGCGCTGGAGAACACGTGGCTGGTGGTGACCCACGCCGAGGACCTGGCCGGCGACTCCCAGGCGCAGGCCCAGTGGCTGCGCGACGCGCGCGAAAACCAGCAGAAGCTGTCCGAGGTGATGCGGCTCGTGGGCGCGCACAAGGTGCTCTTCGTCGAAAACCGGGCCTCGGCCGACCCGCGGCTCGACGCGATCTACGCCGAGGGCCGCCAGTCCAGCCGCGACCTGCTCCTGAGCGTGGCCAAGGCCAACGCACCCGCCCGATTCGACTTCAAGCGCCTCGAGGCCGCCCAGAAAGCCCACGACGACCGGATGGCCGCGGCCGAGGCCCAGCGCAAGGCTGAGGCGGCGAGGGTGGAGCTGCCTTCTGCGCTGCCGCCGCCTCGGCCCTCTGCCGAGCAGGCCCAGATCGCCAGGGAGAAGGCGCGCGCAGAAGCTGAGCGGCAGGCGGCCGTGAAGCGCCAGGAAGAGCTGGTGCTTCGGACCAGGCCCATCATTGTTCACCATGATAACGGCGGTGGGTGTGTGCTCTGCTAAAACAGCATTTGTAGGACTTACTTTTAAATAGAGACACGTTGGCATGTTGTCAGTGTCGTTCAGACGAAGGCGGTGCAGCATAGGTGGCAGCTGCTGTGTGGAGGGGCGAGCCCGTCATTCGGACCAATAGGCGAGAGCCTAATTATAGTTAAAAAAGGCTTTGAGTTCGTGGTTTTTACTTTTTACAACACCAGACGAAGAGGATGGCAGCCGAGTTTGTGGCGAAGACGCCCATCCTGGCGGACGCGGTGAAGGACCTGACCGGTTTTTACCAGCAGCTTGCCGCCCCTACCACCCCCGCCGTACGTACCTGCCCCTGGATTTCATTTTTTTAAATTACAAATTACAATTTTTCTTTTAATCAATCAATCTTTATAATGCGCGATCCGTGTGCCGCCACAGCGGCGGAAATTTGTGCTCTGTTTTTAATGGCAACGACGAACTGATTTGTTTGTGCAGTTGGCGATCTGGTTCACGTTCTGGGGATTCCTTGTGGTGTGCTACTACCTGGTCCCGGGTCCCGTCGGCCGCGGCGTGCCCCTCAAGAATGGCAAGCAGCTCGGTACGTCATGCATCTAATCTCTCAATTATTCCACCATTACTCATTGTGTGCTAATAATACTAACAATAATAATAATAAATCATTTATTATTATTTGTTTGAGCTTTTTATCAAGAAATAATAATAATAACAAAAATACAATGTGTAGAGTACCGCATCAACGGCTTCCGGAGCTTCGTGTTGCTGCTGGCCCTGTTCTACGGCGGTTCGTTCGCCGGCTGGTGGACGCCCACCGTCATCTACGACAACTTCTGGCCTCTCTTCACCGTCGTCAACTACTTCTCCTTCGCCCAGGTCCTCTTCCTCTACATCAAGGGCCGCTTCTTCTCCAACGAGGTACCGCACACGCACCGCCGCACTCACGACACACACTACACACCGCCGCACACACGACACACACACACACCACACACCTGACGCGTTGGTGGTTTCCAGTTTGAGACGCACGGCAATGTCTTGGCGGACCTGTGGTACGGCGTGGAGCTGAACCCGCGCATGCTGGGCTTCGACTTCAAATACTTTGCCTACCGACCCCTCATCATGGGCTGGGCTCTCCTCATCCTCTCCATCGTCCACCACCAGTACGCCCCACCGCACACACCGCCGCCGCACACACCGCCGCACACGGCCAACGATCGGAATGTGCAGGTATGCGGTGTACGGGGTGGTGTCGATTCCGATGGGGCTGTACCTGCTGTTCACCTGGTGGTACACCATCGACTACCTGTGGGTCGAGCACAAGATCTGCACCACGTGGGACATCATCGCCGAACACTTTGGCTTCGGCCTCGTCGTACGTCGCCCCCACCCACCACCCACCACCCACCACCATCACACACACCAGTCGTGTGCCGTGCGGTCATGTCATCTGACGTGTGTGTGTCGTGCGACGTATGTACAGTGGGGCGACCATGCGTTCTATCCGTTCTTCTACAGCATCCAGGCGCACTACCTGATCGAGCCGTTCGAGCTCCATCCCGTCGCCTACTTGGCCATCGTCGCCGTCTTCTTCACCGGTTACACCATCTTCAGACAGTGCGTACTCTCTCTCTATTTTCTTTTCTTTTTCTTTCATCATCTCACACGACACATGCATGCGGTACACAGGGCGAACAACCAGAAGGACGAGTTCAAGCGCGTCGGGAAGAAGGCCAAGATCTGGGGCAAGCCCGTGACGACGACCAAGGACGGCCGCCTCCTGACCTCCGGCTGGTGGGGTACGCGCCTCCACTATGCTGAGCCCCCTCCCCGCGGCCATCGCTTTTTCGTTCTTTTCTTCCCCTCCCCCCCCCGCTCAACGCGCAAAGAATGAAGCGAAAGACTTACGAGTCGACAATGCGCATAGGTGTTGGCCGGCACATCAACTACCTCGGCGACATCCTCATCGCCGTCGGCTGGACCCTTCCCTGCGGCTTCTCCTCCCTCATCGTACGTCGTCGGCCTGTCGTGTTTTCATCGTCGTTCATTGCTATAAACTCAACAACAACGAATGTTGCGTGTGTTCGGTGTGTTGTGTGTGTGTGGTACAGCCGTGGACGCATTCGATGTTCTTCATTCCGTTCCTGATGCATCGCGAGCACAGGGACGAGCAGCGCATGCGGGAGAAGTACGGCGCCACGTACCAGGAGTACTGCCGCGTGGCCAAGTACCGCATCTTCCCCTTCATCTACTAGCATGTAGCATGATTACACAATACTTTAATATTAGAGTTTACATTGTCTTCGATGCTCTATCTATGAAAAGCCACACAAACGTTTACGGAATTCGACTAGTCCCGCGCACCACCAAAGCAGAACGTGAGCGGCAGGACGACGAGGATGAGGAGCCAGGCGCCGATCCCCATAAGGCCCACGACGGTCATGAGGTAGACGGCGTCCACCACCAGAGCCAAAACCAGCAGCACCACAAAGAGCGGGAACAGCGCTCCTGATACACACATCACGTTCTTCAGCTGCTGACGCACCATCGCCACACACGGCACACCGCACACACTGCACACACCGCACACCGCACACCGCACACATTAGGTGTGTCGTACCACAGATGGAGCGAGAGTACCAGTTGCTCCAGGGGCCGAAGGAGAGGCTGCACAGAGACGAGGAGGCCGGCACGTACTTGACCCTGCGCAGGCACCGCGTGGCGCCCACGCACAGCCCAAAGTTCTTGCAGCCCCAGCCGCAGCAGCTCGAGGGCGAGACTGGGACGTCTATGCACACGCACACCCTCTCCATTGGCTGCATCGGCGGCGGGGGAGGCGGGGGCTGCGGGGGCTGAGGCCGTGGCTGCGGTTGTGCTTGAGGCCGAGGTGGTCGAGGCTGCTGGGGCTGTGGTAGAGGCTGAGCTTGAGGCTGAATTGGTGCTTGATGGCTCTCAAGCTTGACGTTTTCAACTTCTGGTTCAGCTGTCTTCTTCTGCTCCTGCTTCTTCTTCTTCTGGAGGCCGTGGGCGAGCTCGTACCTAGATGAAGACTGTTAGGAATTGGGTACAACAAAAGAAGAATGAAGTACCGTTCGACGGCGTTGCGAAGGGCCCAGTTGGGGATCAACTGCTGTTGGGTGATGGCGGTCTTGCACACCGGGCACTCGGAGCGCGGACCGGTACTGAGCCACTTGGTGATCGTCTCCTTGCTGTAGCTGTGCCCACAAGGCCCCACAACTGCATACTCCTGTTTGTTTTGTATACAAAACAAAACAAACCAAACCAAAACAAATGAGAGTTTGGACAATCAGCAGAACCTGATGATTGGATTGGGCGAGGGTTACCAGCAGCGTGAGGGTGATGGGGTCGACGAGCTCTTCGGGTGGCGGTGGCAGCTGCTCCCTGTGGTCATCCAGGACTGTGGGCGGGTTCAAGGAGAAGGAAGACGAGGACAAGGAAGAAGACGATGACGAGAGTTCTTCGACAGCGGAGGATGACTCCATCTTAGTTGATGATTGCGGTGGCTTGGTTTTCTCTTGGACCTCTTACGGCATTCTGGCATCTGTCGACTTCGACCGAAACCGAAAATTCTTGGGCCGGCAGTGCCTTGGTGCCGGCACTCGTCGTCCTTGGGGAAGACTCAGGTTCAAACCCTGGCCCTGGCGTCGCCTGCGTTGATCACTTCTTGGAAATCAATTGATATTGATAGCGGGTTCCATAAATCCCAAAAACCTCAACCCAGCCGTATGTGTGGATTAATCAAAATATAGGAAGGCAACGTAGTCCGCTCGGCAAATGGTACAGCTGCCAACCTTTCCAGTGGTGTTTTGTTCCATTTATGTTGTCGAATTCTTGTTAATTGATTTATATACTGCATTTAATCAAAGGAGTTGGCACGGCACGAAGCCGACATGGATCTGCTGGAGTTCATGGAGGTGGAGGCGAGCGACAAGGCCACCTCGGCCTCCTCCTCCGCAGGGACACCTGCCAGTGCTGCCGCCGACTCAACTGGCCTGGGTCCTGGTCGCCCGCGAAAGCGACGACGTGAGCAGCCACCGCCCAACACCAATAACCGCAAGCTGGCCACCACGACAACAATCATCATCGCACACGACACACACGGCACACACGACAAGACAACGACATCGACATCGTCTACGACGTCGGAGGAGCTCGAATGCGTAGCGCACGCAGCCGAGGCGGTGGTGGTTGGTGCAGATGGCGGCGCGTTAGGACCCGAGGGCGGCCCGCCGAGGCTGGTCGACTACCCGGACAGTGAGGGCGCCGACGAGGCGGACCTCGACGGCCGCGACAGCGAAGCGACAGAGCTGCCGGACGAGGCTGCGAGAGAAGATGAAGAGGAAGGTGGTGATGATGGTGGTGATGATGGTGCCAAGGAAAGCGATACGCGAGCGCAAGAAGGCGATGAGGATTCCGAGATGACACAGAGCATGGAGATGGAGGAGATGCACGCACGCGTCGTCATTCCCGACACGGCCACCAGCGGCCAGCAAGAAGCAGAAGAAAAAGAAAAGAAAAGGGGGAAAAGAAGAACGAAGCGAGGAGCGAAAGAACGAACGAGACGAGCGGGCGGGCGAGGAGCCGGGACGGGAGACGGCAGCAAACAAGCACGAACAAGGCGAGGCCGTCGCGGCTGGTGCTGGTGGCGAGCTGGAACGGCGGGCCAAGGGGGATAAGGCGAAGCGAAGGCTGCCCGACTGGATGGTTCTCACGCCCAAGCAGCTTCAGCAGGTCAGTTGGCTATCGACAGCCTACACGTGGCATGCGCACCACACGCACCACACACACACCACACACACACACACGACAGGTTGTAGCTCACCATCACGTACGAACAGGCGCAGGCCGAGAAGGAGCGGGAGATGAGAGAAAGCAAGGCTGTGCTCCGCGAGCAGGCCCTGCGCTTCTTCGAAATCATGCAGTGCAGCAACAGCAGCACTACGTCCGAGTCCAGCGGCTCCATTGTTGACGACGGCGAGTCGGCCGAGCAGCTGGCGGCCGGTGCGGCACAGGGCTTGCCAGTCGCCTCGCGTATCCTGATGATACGAGTTGGCGGCGACATGGCCTAGCGCTCACCACACACGACACACACAACACACACAGCACTTGACGCCAAGCCACTGATCGCAGTAGCGCCGGTGACGCTCGAGACGAAGGTGTTGGTGAGTGACACCGTGCGCTACACCGACGTGCTCCTACCCATCGAGGAGGGCCGGGTCGTCATCTTCGACCTGGAGACATCGGGCTTTGGCGCTGATGACAGGTAAGTTCACGGCGCTGTGCACGTGCGTGATATGGGATCGTCCGTGTGCGGTGGTGCGTGAACGATAATTAATTAACGCTGCACTGACCCCTGGTGACCATTAGCATCATTGAGATCGGGGCCGTGGAGCTGATAGACGGGCAGCGGACGGGCATCGTGTTTCAGAGGTGGGTCGGGAGAGAAAGTGGTGTGGAGGCTTGTGCACATGGACTGAAAGAACTACTATTCTATTCGCAGCTACGCCAAGGCCATGGGCTCGATCAACCCGTATGCCTTCAAGGCTCACGGTCTCTCCGAAGGTAACACACACGACACACACACAAAAGGCACACAAGACACACACAAGACACACTAACAATTCTTCACCGGTGCAGAATTCCTGTCGTACCATCAGTCCATCGAGATCGTGCTCACCAACTTCATGCGATGGGTTGGCCACTCGCCGCTCGTCGCGCACAACAGCCGGTAAGGTTTCCCATATCCGTCGTGCGAGTTTCGTTGCGAAGTGAAGGCCAACACTTCCTCACACCTCCGCTCCACTTGGCCTTCAAGGTTCGATATGCGCATGCTCTGCCAGGAGTTGCGTCGGTGGGACATTCCAATGAACGGCAACAAGGTGCGCTCCTCACTCTCTTCTTCACCCCAAACCACCATTTCATTGTATTTATTTGCCGTGTGTGCCGTGTGTGCCGTGTGTGCGGTGTGTGCCGTGTGTGCGGTGTGTGCGACCGGAAGGTGTTCTGCACGCTGCGCTACTACCGTGCCAAGTACCCGGGCATGGCGTACTCGCTCGACGACCTGGCCAGCCACTTCCGCATTGACCAGATCATTGAACGGTACATGCGCCCCTTGTGGTGTAGCGGCGTGTATTATTTGCCTTACCCGCTTCCTTTTTCTTTTCTTTTTTTGGTCCAAGGCGCACCCACGGGGCTTTGGTTGACGCCGAGATCTGCGCCCGCGTCTATCAAAAGTTCCTGGACGCCCTCTGAGTGTAATTGCTAAGTCATTCGTTTATTGCAACACGCACTTGCCGGCACTGACAACCATTCCGACCACCTGCAAGCCCTCCATGACCACGTCGAGTGCCCTCGTCTTGTGCTGGACGTAGGTAACGGCCGCCTGCTCCACGGCCCGCTGCTGACTCGCCCGCAGCTCCCCCAGCTGCCGCTGCAGCCGCTCCTCGATCTCCCCCAGCCTCTGCTCGAGCTGCGCCCTCTCCTGTTCGGTCGCCGCACGCACCTGCTCCTCCCGCAGCCGACGCGCCTCGTCGGCAGCCCTCGCCTCGAGCTTGCGGCACTGGCGATCGTAGGCCTCCTGGGCCTGTTCGAGCTCGGCGATCGTGTAGCGCGTCGGCGCGTTGGCGGTGATGACGCGCAGCAGCGCGGCCCGAGCCTCGTCCCGGCGCTGCGCGTTGAACTCCTCCTCGCGCCCCGCGGGATCCCGCGGCGGCAGGCTCGGGCGGGTTCTAGACGAACACGATACGATCGGCTCCCAGCCGGGCCACCATCTCGTCAAAGTGGCGATTGCTGCGCGATTGACGCACCCACGCCTGCTGGGCGCCGCTATCGCGGCTCAGATCGGCGCCCGAGGCCGTCACCACCAGCCACACGTTGCCCAGGCACCCTTCGCCCAGCACTCCCTCGAGCAGGTACCTTTTGCCAATATAAAGATATTTGTGTGGGTCGTGTCGTGTCGTGCGTCGTGTGCGTACTTGTAGGCAACGTAGGTTGGCTCGGTGAAGCGCTCGGCCTTCATGCAAAGGAAGAAGAAGTCGACCCCGCCGGCGAGAGAGGCGATGCCCTGGGTGGTCTGTTGCCGCACCACTTCAGGCGGGCGCTGGGTGTCGTCGAGCCCCATCGTGTCCAAGACGCGCAGAAGGAGGTGCAGCTCGGGGTAGGCCAGTTCGCCCACTTGCCCGGGCGTTTGGCTGGAGGCCGAGTTGGAGGGGGTGAACAGGTCGGGTCTGGAATGACACAGCAGCCGGCCCAGTGCGGTCTTGCCGGCGCCGGTGAGGCCCACGAGAGCCACGCGCACAGCCCTCCGTGTGGTGGTCGACATGGTAGGCTTGTTGTTGAGACTTGGGTTGTGTTGTGAAGTCGACGCGCTTGCAGTTCAATTTTATTCTCGGTTCGGCCGAAGATCTCGAAGAACTTTATTCTCCGATTCGGTCGAAACGGAGGTTTTATGATTGGGGATTGCTTTGCACCAAAATTAAACATCTCAAACTTCTTCAGCGGAAAAAGGTGCTCTTCATCGACAACAGATCATCGAAGAACAAGCGGATGGACGAGATGTATGCCGAGGGCCGCGAGTCGGCCAAGGGCCTGCTCCTTCAGGTGATGCAGAGCAACAAGCCGGCGCGGTTCACCATCGAGAGCCTCGAGGCCGCCCAGAAGGAGTACGACGACACGAAGGCCGCCGCTGAGGCCGAACGCGCAGCCGAGGTGGCGCGGCTGAGGCAGGTCGAGATTGACGCCGCGACGGCCCTCGAGAAGGAGAAGGCCAGGTCGGCCATCCGGGAGGCCGAGCTGCAGGCCGAGGTCAAGTTGGCGACAGCACGCGCCGAACTCGAGGCCAAACTGCGTGGCGAAGCCGAGGAGAGGCTTCGCAACGCCCCTACGCCGCAGCAGCTGATTACTAAGGGCGGAGGCTGTGTGCTTTTTTAATGTTTTCATCTCAAGCACGTTCGCTCTTCTCCGCACCTGCACCGCTTTCGTTCTTCCCCCCCCCCACAGCAGTGTGCAAGAAGCGGGGAGCGGATGGTACATGCGTGTAATTTGTAACTGGGTGGCCTCTACACCAAAAACAAAATAGAGAGAACAACGAGGAATGGAAAAGAGAAGAAGAAGAAGAGATTGCTCTACAGACAGACGGGGGGTCTTGTTCCTGTCTTGCTCCACTCCTCTGCCGGAAGGTGGTACCGTTAGGGCGGTGCGGTCAAGGCTCATGTAGTCTTGGCCGTACGTAGAGGAGGAGAGAAGGACAGAAGCAAGCAAGCTCGTCGTTTGAAGGCTCTAGTTGGGGAGAATCACGTCGGAGAAGTACGGATGTCTCATGGCCTTCTCTGCTGAGACTCGCTCGTTGGGGTTGTACCGCAGCATTTGCTACACACACACACAGACACCAGAGTCGTGTGAGAAGTGGAAAGGCTACTCACTAAGTCCGCCGTCCGCGTCGCACGCAGGACTGGAGAGGAACGCAAACGAACCTCGATCAGGTTGTAGCCGTCTTCGTCAAGCCCTGGCACCAGCGTCTTCAGAGAGATGGTGGGGTATCGCGGGAAATCCTCCTAGCGTGGCCGAGAGAGCATTCGGGTGTCAGACTGTGCGACAAGGCGCTAAGGTGTCACAGCAACAATTTGTTCGGTCTTCTCGCAGTGGCCACGAGGCGCAGCTGGAAGGGAGGGAGCACCTTGTAGTCCGGAAGCTGCTTGACTTCTGGCCAAGACTCCTCAGTCGGTGTGCCAAGCTTCGTACAATGGAATTAAGGCAAACACAACACTAGCAGAAAGCGAAGCGAAGCGAGAACAAGAGAGAACAAGGACGGAGCAAAGAAGCAGAAGGGAGGGGAAGGGAAGGGAAGAAGGGCTAAGAGGATATTTGAAGATCCGCAGCAGCTGGTCGTTGGCGTTGCTGCCAGGAGAGAGG